CATTAGACAAACAAACCCTACAGGTAGGTCCATAAACACATTACAGCATTAATGTGCTTGCACCTTGTTGGGACGACCTGTAGGCTTGTTAACACATATTCACACATACAGAGGTGGAATAGTTTTCCTTGCTGATACAGAAATATTGTGCATATACTTACTTATGTGCTCAAATCTGTTATTCTCTGTCTGTCTGAGCATTCAAAGAAAAACATATTTATGTGAAAAAGGAATATGACTATACTAGATTTTATTTAGTCAATGCACACAAACTGCAAAACTGAAAATATATTATTATATTTTTCTTTTTTTAAATTCAGGTGTTTTAGTTGAATTAAAGTCTAAATATAATATGACTTCCAAGTAAGCCACCAAACAAATAAATCCCAATTCCCAAATATTAACCAGACAACCAAACAAAAAGTTAAAAACTTGGATAACTTGTCGAGAAATGTTACTATGAAACATGTAAACACCTCAATCAAACTTTTTTTTACTTACCTTCATCAATAATTAAAATAATGTACATTCATGTTTATTGTTAGAATGTCCTCCAGGGGTAAAGTGAAGGACCACATGTTAATTAAATAGTGTTTTGTTGTTGTTCCAGGGAGGGCGGACTCTCTGCATGAAGGAGGTGTGTCCTGTCCTTTCCTGCCCCGCCCACCTCAGCCACACCCCGCCTGGACATTGCTGTCCCAGATGTCTCGGTAAAGACCAGTTATTACATTTCTGACCTGGAACCTGTGTGGAAGTTGATATAAAAGTTGAAGTTTCCTCTTTTTATATTTCCTCAACTTTAATTTCCATCTTTACACTGAAACCATTCGATGCAGCACACTAAAAAACCTTGATAACAGATGTTCCCAATGACACTAATGAAGGTTCTGTGAATGTTTCGCCTGAGAAAGGTTTTTCTACAGTGTCTGAATGCACTGCACAGGGTGAAGACCAGCTGTAAGCAAATAACTGGAACAAGCTAAATAACCCAAAAAGTCACCAATAACTCATTGTTGAGTTTTAGTGTTTCTCTGTTTCTTATCTTTGACTCGCTTCCTCTTCCTCTTCCTCTTCCTCCCTCAGGTCAAAGGAAGGTGTTCGATCTGTCTTTAGGAAGCTGTCTGTTTCACAGTGAAGTTTACGAGAACGGCACTTGCTTCCTACACGACAACTGCACCACCTGCACCTGCAAGGTACGGGCCTGCATGTAAAACAGTCCTTCATCATCTTCATCATCATCATCATCATCATCATCATCATCATCACAGCAATAAAGACCCTGTGTTCTTTTTATCTGTCAACCCCACTGTACACCAAATCCTTGCTGTTGAAATCACTTCTTTTGGTTTTTTGTTTGTTTGACCATTGCTCCCTCTTCCCCGTTGGGCCGTTCTTCTTCCCAGGATTCCACGGTGGTGTGCAATAGGCGGTGCTCGCGGCCAGGGAGTTGCCACGGCGACGAGTGCTGCGAGGAGTGTCTCTCCTACGTGAAGGTGGAGGAAGTGAAGTACTGCAGAGTCCGGAACAAGATCTACAGGGTGAGAGAGTGGGACGGATGAACAGATACAGTAGATGGATGAATGGATATAGAGAATGGACAGATAGACTGATGGTAGAATGGATGGATGGAAGGACAAATGGATGATAATGAGTATGGACCGACAGACGGAGGGACAGATGGACGGTGGTGGTGTGTGTGTGTGTCTGGGTGGTTGTATTCTGAACCTGCTGTGTCTTCTGTCCCGCAGGAAGGAGACATGTGGTCGTCCGTTAACTGCACTCTCTGTGCCTGCGTTAAAGGAAGCATCGAGTGTCGGCCCAAACAGTGTGTACCAATCACCAGCTGCCCCTCGGTGAGTGACAGGCCCGCCGGCCAATCACCAGCTTACATCCCGTTTGCAGGGTTTACATCAAGCTATTCTGTGTCACTTTATCTGTTCTCTCTCTGTCTCATCTGTCTGACGCTCACACTTTACAGTCTGTGACTAACTGCATCATTTTCACTGCACATGTGTGACGTCTCAAAACAGCAACACTCCTCTGATTTACTGTTTCACCTAAAAGCAATTATCCTCTAGTCTAAAACTACTAATGTCAGATGTTCTTCTTAAAGTCTTAACGTTAAAGTATGTAATTTCCAGTATAAGCAGGGAATTTAGTCATTTTGTTAAAAATACATGTCATAAAAACTATATAAAACTGATAATATTCCAAATCAGCCAATTCACAATTGAGCACTATGGGCGAAAGAGTAAAAAGACTATTATTTATAAAAAATATTACATCACATTTTAGCATCCTTGTGCAATTCATTTTGATTAGGAGATAAGACAGATTGATATAATACATTTGTCAGATTTATGACTCATGCTAAAAGACACAGAGGCCGTATCGAACCCATCACTTCCCAGCACTTTCCTATAACAGTGAGGTTTCTCCTGTGCAACAGTAAAACACCCTTTTAGCACATTAGCGATGTTACACGCAGCTCAAGCATGGCGTTAGCTGTCACACTCTGGGAACTGCTGGCAGGAGGAAGGTTTGTGCTGGGTTCACCTGTCGCAGAGGCCGCTGTGGGGTCATCTGTCGGCCGCTGGTGATGGAGTGGATTCCTTGCATACCGCCGGCCGCAGGCGGTCACGCAGTCAAAGCCGGCATCAGTGATAGTCCAAGTTCACACGCTTCCAGCGGTTACAACAAGCCCTCACCTGTTGTTTGTGGTCAGAACAGGCGGCTGCTGGGTGATGTAGGTGGTCTGCAGTGAGTCCTGTCTCCAGTGAAAACTAATCTTTCTCACATCTGGAGACCTTGAAATAAGCATTTATATTTATAATAATTTATGGCTGTTTAATTGCTGGGAAATTGTGATGGCAAATTAGGAATTTACTTCATCTTTACAACCACGTGACAAAATGTGTTTTTATGCAACACGGTGTAATGTTGCATTCGTGTCATGATGATGAAGCAGGAGAAGAGGATGCCCATGCTGGGGTCATTACACCGATTGCTACACTTTACCTTTTAGCACCTTACCACCGCGATGGATCTGATTACTAAATAAGAACTGTGAAAGTCTCAGAGTGTCACACTGAATTCTTACAGCATCATATCACTGTGACCCAGAGGCTGTGAGGTAAAACCAGCAGTGTTAGTGTATCATCAGTGTGTCACATCTGTGTAACTGAATATGAAGTGATAGCTGGTTGGAAACCTCCTGGCCTCAACCTGCTGAGTGCACTCAGATTGTTTGGTGCAGATGGGTTTGTGTTGTTCCAGACTCCTTCCATGCTGTTTCTACAGAAGCCCAGAACGTACAAACCAAACACTGGCTGTATATAGGGGCGTCCAGTGTGAAAGTAATTCCTGCAGCTTGGGCATCAGATGTATAGTGTACTTAACTTACAGGTTCCTTGTGGAAGCAAACACGTCTGTCGCACTCTTTCATAACAAGCAAACATTTTAAAGTGAAAGACTAATGTTTCCTCTACATCGATGTGTAGAAGCAACTCACACACCTGTCCCAAGCTATCATGAGTGGTGGAGAGGTCACCACAGCCCACCTCAACCCTCTAAACACACACACACACA